AAAAAAGACACGGTTTTCTGGGCTGACATCCTTGTCTATGTTTGGATATGAGGGTAGGGAAAAAGATGGGAGCTATTTCTGTGGGCCCTTTTGGGACAGGCTTTTTACCGTTAAATGCCTGGGGCTTTACTTTTGTTGACGATACTTCTGGGTTCCCGTTAGTTGGGAAAAGGGAAAATTTTAGATCCCTCGACCACTTTTCCTGTTTTCCTTTAGCGCCGCATTTTGTGCGCTATTACGCCATGGTTTAATTGTCGGGGGGCTTTTGCAAAGTCGTATATATTACCTCTGCCCTTCTTTTTTTTTTCTAGTGATTTAGGACCTTTTGGGAGTGATCCGTAGTTGAGACAGACAGGAGGACCCGGGTTTTAAAACCCCTGTTGCCCTGGGTTTTGTAACTGATGGGTTTCAGATGGGTGGTGATCTTGTTCTTAGGAAACCCTTTAAAGATTTTTTGATATGGGGTGTTGTTTTCTTTGGTCTGTAAATTCTTTGCTGTTGCTTTACTGCCCCCTTTGTGGAGGGGGCTATTTCTGTTGTTTTTAGTAACTGGGGGCGACCCCCGGGCCCCTGCTCCTCTCCATAGGATTTGGGAAAAGGGGTCGTGATAGGGGCCCTTTTTGCAGTTCTTTATGAACACAGGTTCCATGAGTCTGGCCCCGGGGGCCAGAGTGCAATTGGGCATGTAAAATTTTTCGCCTTTTTCGAAGTCATTTTGGGCCCTCAGGATAACATCGGATGGCTTGTGTTAGCAAATTTTTTTGGCCCCTCTCATAAAAAAAAATTTAAAATTTTGGGCTTCGACTCTCAGTCTGGGGGTTTGCGGCTTACAAAAAAATGAGTCATATTGGGACTTTAGTGCTCAATCTTTTTCCCTTTCTGTTTATCTGTGTAAAGGGCCCCCTTTTTTTAAGGGAGGGGCCCAATTTCTGGACGTTTTTTTCGATTTTGATTTTTGGGATAGGAGAAGAAATAATTTGGGGTTTCTTTCGATTTCATTTATGGCTTTTAGTTCTTCCCGCGATTCCTGACTCCTAAAGGATTCTTTTAGCTTAAGTTCGATGCTTGCTATTTCTCTGACCAGTGTCTCCCTGCGCATTTCAGATATATTGACCTCTTTTAGCCGCTCTGTTATTCTTTTCCGTCGCCTGTAAAGGGAGCGCCTGTCTCTTTCTATTTTACATCTACTCCTCCTTTTTCTTAGAGGAATAAGCCTTGTGCATACATCGAGTGCCACCGAGTTAATCTGTTCTGGGCATAAGTTTTGGGTCTGTGTTGCTTAGTATATCTTCCCAGCTTATATCGGTTAGGACTTGGTTTACTTGGTCCCACTTTATGTTTTTGTTATTGAAATTGAATTTGGTGAATGCTCCCTCATGACTAGTCTCATTTTGTCGGTCTGGGGCTCCATGCATACATGTCTGAACCTCAATTATGTTGTGATCTGAGTATATTGTTTTTGATATGGTGACATTTCTTATCAGATCATCATTGTTAGTGAAGATGAGGTCTAGTGTATTCTCCAGTCTTGTAGGCTCTATTATTTGCTGGTTTAAATTGAATTTTGTGCAGAGATTTAAAAGCTCGTGTGAGTGTGAGTTTTCATCAGAGCTGCCTCCTGGTGTTATTTCTGCAACAATATTATTTGCTATATTCCTCCATTTTAGGTGCCTTAAGTTGAAATCCCCCAGGAGCAAGATGTTGGGTGCAGGAGCTGGAAGATTTTCCAGACAGTGGTCAATTTTTAACAGCTGTTCCTGGAATTGCTGGGATGTTGCATCCGGAGGCTTGTAGACTACCACAATGACTAGGTTTTGGTTCTCGACCTTTACTGCTAAAACTTCCACTACGTCATTTGGTATATGTGAACGACATGACGGAAGGGTTAGACTCAGAAGTGTCCCTGTTTGCAGATGATGTGAAGTTAATGAGGAGAATTAAATCTGATGAGGACCAGGCAGGACTTCAAAGAGACCTGGACAGACTGGACACCTGGTCCAGCAAATGGCTTCTCGAATTTAATCCTGCCAAATGCAAAGTCATGAAGATAGGGGAAGGGCACAGAAGACCACAGACAGAGTATAGGCTAGGTGGCCAAAGACTGCAAACCTCACTCAAGGAGAAAGATCTTGGGGTGAGTATAACACCGAGCATGTCTCCGGAAGCACACATCAATCAGATAACTGCTGCAGCATATGGGCGCCTGGCAAACCAGAGAACAGCATTCCGATACCTTAGTAAGGAATCATTCAAGACACTGTACACCGTGTATGTCAGGCCCATACTGGAGTATGCAGCACCTGTTTGGAACCCGCACTTGATAAAGCACGTCAAGAAACTAGAGAAAGTACAAAGGTTTGCGACAAGGTTAGTTCCAGAGCTAAGGGGAATGTCCTATGAAGAAAGATTAAGGGAAATCGGCCTGACGACACTGGAGGACAGGAGGGTCAGGGGAGACATGATAACGACATATAAAATACTGCGTGGAATAGACAAGGAGGACAAAGACAGGATGTTCCAGGGAGGGGACACAGAAACAAGAGGCCACAATTGGAAGTTGAAGACACAAATGAGTCAGAGAGATATTAGGAAGTATTTCTTCAGTCACAGAGTTGTAAGGCAGTGGAATAGCCTAGAAAATGACGTAGTGGAGGCAGGAACCATACACAGTTTTAAGACGAGGTTTGATAAAGCTCATGGAGCGGGGAGAGAGAGGGCCCAGTAGCAACCGGTGAAGAGGCGGGGCCAGGAGCTAAGACTCGACCCCTGCAACCACAAATGGGTGAGTACACACACACACACACGCACGAACTGTGAGGGGCAAGGCTTTTGCTTGGACAGTTGCGGTGACGGTGGAGGCAGGCGGTGTTGGACTCTCATTGGTGGGATTTGTCGACGTCTCAGTGGTCTCTGAGTGGTCCATCTCTGTGTCGAGTGGAGGTTGTGTCAGTGGTGGAGCAGCTGTTATGCTGGCAATATTTGCAGTGGTTTGTAGGATCTCAGTGGAAGGTGGTGATGCAGGGAATGTGAGGCCAGGCATGTTGTTTAGTTTGAAAAGTTCGTTGATGGTGGTGTTGAAGGAGCCGGGCTCAGCTGCATTCTGTACATGAGCATACATGATGCAATAAAGAATCTTGGTGGAGTCGGCAGCAGGTGCTGGGAGGAAAGTGGTGGGAGCAGCTTGCGTGGCTTGTAGTATCTTGGTAGTGTCTGCTTGAAGCTTGGCAATAGCAGAATATGTGGTGGTCATTCTTGCAGTTCAGGCATTTCGGTGGGGAAGCAGTAGTGCAATTCTTGAAGTCATGACCCTCAAGGCCACAGGTGGAGCAGGGCAGTCTTTGGTGATATGCTGGTATGAGTAACAGTTATAGCACTGAGGGATTTGTTGGTATTTTTCTGCTTCGATGAAGGCTGGATTGATATGGAAGTAGTGAGAAAGAACTCCAAGAGGTCAAAATGAGTCACAATGAGATTAACTCCAAAGAAAATTATGGTAATTAAAATTACCTAACAGCAGGAGTTATTTGAGAGGATGGCGGGGAAACTATGAGGTTGATAGGTCGTTAGAAGACCAGGGTGAGAAGAGGAGTGTAAAGGACAGAATCGTTTAAAGAAAGAAATATTTTACCACACGCGACTTCTTTAGCCATTTCAAGCTAATGCAGAGACAGCTACAGCAACAGATAATGTAATAAGATGAGTCAATTGAAAGAGAGTAGGGAAACGTGGTTGGTGTCACATAATGGTAGTGTCCAGGTTAGGCAACTGTTTGTTTACCAAATAAACTGGAGACTGAAACTGCCCGATTTTGTGGAATGGAGTGTCACCTTGGCGAGTGTAGTTATGCAGCATGTCTGTCTGTCTGCTGCTTAATGAATAGATAATTGAGCCTCCATCACTCATTGTGCTAAATAATGCACACAAGTTTAGCTCTTCATATACATAATAATAATAATAACAATAATAATAATAATAATAATAATAATAATAATAATAATAATTTATTATTATTATTATTATTATTATTATTATTATTATTATTATTATTATTATAATCATGGGGAGCGCTAAATCCATAGGATTATAGAGCGCATGTGGGGGCATGGAAGGTATTCAGGCTCAATTTAGGGAACTGAAGCCCCTCACCAGCTTTCAAGAAACCTCCTTTGAGGGGACATATAATAATAATGTGAGACTGTGTACGAGAATGAGTCTGTGAATGTAAGTACGCTTGTAGTCATGATCGTAACAACTGCATGCAATGTAGAGGTAACCTCATGAGATGGAGGAGGCTAGGCTAGTTATTGACGATTGGCCTACGCAAACGAAAATAATTGTAAGATGCTTTAATAGCAGTATTGCACACCATCCACACAAATCGGGCAGCTTCATTATCTCCAAATATTTGACAGCCAAGTCGTTGCCCAACCTGAACACAGCCACCACGTGACAAACCAAAAAACACCGCTTACCATTTCACTATGTACGTATTTTATTGGTTTAGCTTCCTCTGTATAAGGACTAAAGAAGTCACTTGTGATGAAATTTATACAAAAATATCATAACTGTTTATATATGTCAGTTCACAATATTATCTTCTTGTTAATACAATGCAACCCTAAAAAAAAAAAAAAAAAGTTTATTCTGGGGTTGGGTAACTAAGCGACGTCAACACGAACGTGGTTACCATTATAACTTGTTCCATCACATCTCTGGTCGTTATTGAAGCACTTTAAGCAAGTACGAAGAACTGTGCTGACCTTGGAGGGTGGAAGTCTCACTCTACCCTGCCTTGAGCCTCATTGACAATTTTCTCATTCTATATTTCCCTGAAAAGTTTGTCTACATCCTCATCCTGGTGGCAGCTGGTCGGGGGCGCCATACAAAATCTCCTTCTATGCTCCAGAAAAGATTGTTGTTGTTGACTCATGGTGGCTGAGTGGGTGTCCGCTGTATAGCCCTTGTGCTTAGCGCTTCTTTTTGATTTATAATAATGAGTGGGTGTCCGGCTGTGCCAGGGTTTAGGTGATGAGGATCCACCTTACCTCGCTGGGAATTATTGTTCCTGTTTCTCTTTCCTGAGAAACCTCATTTTCTTTTCTATTCCTACCCATATTTGGGCAATATATTTATCCCAGACTCCTGGGAGGCAAGGCTCAGTAAGTTGTAAGCTTTGGTGGCTCTTAATAACCCCAACAACAACATCTTGTTCCTGTAAGTCAACAACAAGTATCCTGAAGAAGCAACTTTGTGACGTCAAGGTTTGGATACTTGGCATGTTTTTCTGAGCAGACCTGAAGCTTGAGTACACCTGTACAGTGTTCGTGTGCACAGGTAGGCTGGGTATCATTAATCCATATGTCACTACATCCATATGATTTCCAAGAATTGTAACCTAGAGAAATTATTATAATAAAAAAAGAAGCGCTAAACCACAAGGGCCATACAGTGCTGTAACTTAGAGAAAGTATAATGAAAACACATATCTAAAATATTGTAAATACTAACCAAAATAAATTAATCTTTTTGTGTGCAAAAAAATTAATCTTTTTGTGTGCATTCACATGTGTATTTACCTATGTATATATTAAATACACCTGTGATGCAGTCCCTTGCTGATCTTGGCATAATTCGTTGTACGTATTCTTACACCTGTTTATCTTATCTGCTGTCCCCGTTCACCTAGCAGTAAGTAGGTGGTACCTGGGCGTTAGTCAACTAGTGTGGGTGGCATCCTGGGGGACAAGGTTGATGGACCACAGTGGAAATAAGGCAGACAGTCCTCGACACACTGACTTTCTTGGGTTATCCTGAGTGGCTAACCCTCCTCTGGGTTAAAAATCTGAACAGATCTTATCCTATCATAACAAGGGTTTTTTGTAAAGTATTCCAGTAATGTTAGCAATTCCTGTATCATTTATATATTGTACTTTGTAAAAAAAAATTATTTTTCCTTTACTACTACTTACTGCTTTATTTACACCAAGGTGTGTTTTTATTATGTAAATTCTCAAGCATCAAGTGCATTGTGCACTGGAGATATTTATATTTAGCGACTATGGGACAATACCCTTTTGCTTATACATATAACAAAATATGTTATTGAACCTAACCTTACTGACAATTTATAGCTGCTCTAAATTAAGTTTGGTTGGGTAACTTATCAAAATAAAACTTCTTTCATACTTTTTCATGATATAACAGTTTCCACTACAGAACCTACTTATTTAAGAACAATTTGCATAATATATAATATTCTTACTTTGCCTGTTATCACCTAAAATAATTTCCACAAAATAACTATTTTTCTCATGGAATGGATAGCTTGGATATTATTTATAATACAGTATAAAATATTAGCAGATGTGTGTCCCAGGAAAAAGGACAAACAATGGCCTACATGGCAATAAATCACTTTGTCTGACTTCTTTGGGTTATCCTAGGTAATTTACACATGTTAATATGTATTTATTTATTTATTTATTTTTTATTTGGACATGATACATAGTTGTACAAAGAAATATAGTGACTGGGTGTACATGCCAAAAGCCCCTTATATGCAGAGCATTATGGGCAGGCTTAAAAATAACTTAAGATTAACTAAGCAATGGTATAAATTACAGTAAACAAATTACAACGTGAAGTACAAATGAGCATTTCAAATAAGAAGCATTAAAGCTGTATAGATTTGTAGCATAACAATACATAATATAATCCGATCAAATCGAATAAAATCAATGATTTGTAGTGCAGAAACAGGTCATATGGTCATTAGATGAGTTACTGTGCATTCAAGAGAATGGAGTATTCTGTTAGGTAATGTAATTAAAAAAAACATAGTTTGATAGGGTCACAGGTTATACATTTATGAGATACAGTTATTCAGTATTTATTTAGTTGTGGGTGAGTAAGTGGTTTTTAAGTCTTGAATTGATAAACAGACAGTGTTTCTTTTATATTCACAGGTAATGAATTCTAGATTTTTGGGCCTTTTATGTGCATTGTGTTTTTACATAGTGTGAGATGGACATGGGGAACATCAAAGAGTGATCTGTGCCTTGTGTTATGGTCATGCGTTCTGTTGAGGTTGGTAAGAAGTTTGAGGGGAGGGTTTATATCCGAGTTTAGTGTTCTATGTGTGTAGTAGGCACAATAATGAGTATGAATGTTTTGTACAGTAAGTTTAGAGTTTTGAATATTGGTGGAGTATGCTGCCTGGAGTGGGAATTTGTTATCATTCTGACTGTAGCCTTTTGTTGGGTAATTAATGGTCTGAGATGATTTATTGTTGTTGAACCCCATGCACAAATTCCATAGGTGAGATAGGGGTAAACGAGTGAGTGATATAGGGCCAGGAGGGCTGATTGTGGAACATAGTACTGTATCTTCGATAGTATGCCTACGGTCTTGGAGATTTTCTTGGAAATTTGTTGTACATGTGTTTGAAATTTGAGTCTGTTATCAAGGTGGATTCCTAAGAATTTTCCCTCTGTGAGTTTTGTGATAGGTGATCCATTTATCATTATGTTAAGGGGAACATCTGTAGTTCTGTTCCCAAACTGATTGAAGTAGGTTTTGTCAATATTGAGAGTAAGTTTGTTAATCATCAACAGGTAGATATTTTCTGTAATTTGGTATTTACAGTATTGGCTATTATGACGGCTTGGGTGAGATAAGACGTATGTAGTGTCATCTGCAAATAGTGTGGGTTTGAGTAGTTGCGATGCATTTGGTAGGTCGTTTATGTAAATGAGAAAGAGAAGAGGGTATGATAATTTGTGTAACTTTATTTTTGTGTATCTGTACCTAGATAAACTTGTTAACTTTTCCATCTCCATAGTTTATTCTGGCAATAGAATTTATATGACCATCATAGCCCTCTGTGTAAAAAGGTTAAATTTACAGATTTTTGAAAAAACTATGTTTTGGGATTCACAGTTGTTGCAGTAAATGGTGTACAATATTGGCATTATAAACATTTCCTTCAAAGGGGTTCCTTGATGCTGGTGAAAGCCTCTTGGTCTAAGATATTGGAACTACCCTTGTCTTCTTTGGATCAAACAATTTCCTTCCATTTCCCAGACATTGTATGGCCCCAAAGAATAAAATAATAAATTCAAATTCAAATTTATTTATTTCTTTGCAAGTACAGTAGTACATTGAGGTTATGTATTTACAATATTGGGTTGCAGTGCAAAGAGAGCCTCTATTATGTCTAGGCATTATGGGCTGACTGAATTTAATGGCATACTGACTACTTAACACTAAAGAAATTTATCATAGTTGTACAATAGTTCTATTAGTTACAAATGAGTCTAATTTATATAAACCAAAGGATATATTCATATTTTCAAAAATGCTTTTTGTGAAGCATGATTCAATTATATTCCTGTTGACAATGGACAATGGATTCAAAAGTAATTATTGAAATTATATTATGGGAATATAACATTGTGATTTGCTAAAAGTAGTTTACAGTATGAGAATGCTACAATTTGGTGTAGGGCAATACTGTTTTTGGGTAGGTATTTATACTCATACGTAGTATTAGTCAATGTATGAACTTGGTCATCTAATCTTGAAGTTTTAAGATTTAGGTGATTGGGAGATTTATTGGTAAAGTTAAATATTGAGTATTGAGTATTTAGTTTAAGGTGATTAAGTGGTTTTTGAGAAGTCTTAAATTGATTTTCAGACTGGGTTTCTTTAGTATTTTCTGGTAATGAATTCCAAATTTTGGGGCCCTTTATATGCATAGAGTTTTTACAGTGTGATATGAACACGGGGTACATCAAAAAGAGATCTGTGTCTTGTGTTATGGTCATGTGTCCTGTTAAGGTTCGTGAGGAGAAGTTTGAGTGGAGGGTTCATGTTTGCATGTATTGTTCTATGTATGTAGTAGGCACATGAATAAGTATGGATGTTCTTTATGGTGAGCAGATTTAGACTTTTGAATATTGGTGGAGTATTCTGTTGGGAGTAGGAATTTGTTATCATTCTGACTGCAGCCTTTTGCTGTGTTATTAGTGGTCTTAGGTGATTTAATGTTGTTGATCCCCATGCACAGATTTCATATGTGAGATGATGATAATAATAATAATAATAATAATTGATATTCAGTGGGTTCTGCAAAATACTTTTTTTTTCTCTCAACAAACCGGCCGTATCCCACCAAGGCAGGGTGGTCCAAAAAGAAAAATGAACGTTTCTCTTTTTAAATTTAGTAATTTATATGTAAGAAGGGGTTACTAGCCCCTTGATCCCGGCATTTTAGTCACCTCTTACAACACGCATGGCTTATGGAGGAAGAATTCTGTTCCACTTCCCCATGGAGATAAGAGGAAATAAACAAGAACAAGAACTAGAAAGAAAATAGAAGAAAACCCAGTGGGGTGTGTATATATATATATGCTTGTACATGTATGTGTAGTGTGACCTAAGTGTAAGTAGAAGTAGCAAGACATACCTGAAATCTTGCATGTTTATGAGACAGAAAAAAGGACACCAGCAATCCTACCATCATGTAAAACAGTTACAGGCTTTCATTTTACAATCACTTGGCAGGACGGTAGTGCCTCCCTGGGCAGTTGCTGTCTACCAACCTACTACCTAGAGCAAAATACTTTTAATAGTATAATTTTTGTTCCTAACCCTTGTCTAAGCTAAATTTTTTATAAGTTTTGAATTCAAGGTTTAATTTCAGCTGTATCTACCACTTCTAGCATTTCTAACTTTTGAAATTCATCCTGGCCCATGTGTTGTCTTGCACCAGTGTCCAGATAAGGTTTATCCTGGACATGGAAATTTGATTGTTTCTAGACTGTCTTGCCACAAATTTTTGAGGGGTTAGAAACCAGAATCAGTATTATAACAAGAAAAGTGAACAGGTCAATACTTAATTTAGCTGCTTGACAGAACTCTGTCATTTACTTATTTTTAATCATACAAGCAAAAATTAGTTACTGATTTCTTGGACAAATTACGATTTTGAGAGATATTAATCACATAAATCTTTTATGAAAGGAAGACTGTAGCGAAATCCACTTCACTAATCAGCAGCTAGTATTTAGAGTCTACATTCCAGTTGTAGAGTGAGTGTGTGAGTGTGTGAGTACTCACCTATTTTGTACTCACCTATTTGTGGTTGCAGGGGTCGAGTCCTAGCTCCTGGCCCCGCCTCTTCACCGGTTGCTACTAGGCCCTCTCTCTCCCCGCTCCATGAGCTTTATCAAACCTCGTCTTAAAACTGTGTATGGTTCCTGCCTCCACTACGTCATTTTCTAGGCTATTCCACTGCTTTACAACTCTATGACTGAAGAAATACTTCCTACTAT